AAAGATTTCTGACAGATCTAGGTGATCGAGATAGATCGCCAACCGTGAAATTATCTCTTGCTTAATACACACAAATCGGTGTATAAATAAAGATTAGCTAAAAAAATTACTGCGTCTAATTGACAAAAAAATTTTCTCTCTAAAAAATTAACATAATCAATTTAATTAAATACATGATTACTTTGTAAACAATTGTGTTAAATTTAATAGATTTTCTGTTCATAATTTAATAATTATAAAAGAAACGTAGCAGTAATAATTTTACGCTTCCTAACTTGGGTTATATTATATAAAAAAGACGCCATAATATAGCAATAAAAATGGAAATATACATTATATATATATATACACTTGATGACAGTCAACGTAACAAAATTCAACTCACCATAATTGTTCCAATTACTCAAAACAACAACAATATCGGTCCGTGGCTCGTAGCACCGTGCGAGAAAAGAGAAGATCCTTCGGGCAATTTATTAATGGAAAAACAATACAAACGGGAAGAAAATTCAACAACGCGAGAATTGCCGGCAGATCAGAAAAAGAGAAAAAAAGGATCTCGATTATTGATACGGATCAATGATCGAGGATCCGCCGCCGCATGATCGGGGAACTGTCACTGACAGTAGTTCGGGAAACACTGACTGGTGTGGCGAACAAGCCTGCTGTCATTCTCTCTCTCTCTCTCTCTCTCTCTCTCTCTCTCTCTCTCTCTCTCGATCACTTGCTCTCTTTCATTTTCCCTCTCTCTAGATATATTGCTCTCTTAGTCTCTCTTTCTCTTTCTCCCTCCCCCTTGTCTTTTTTTTGCCAACCTCTCTCTTCTTGAACGGAGAGTACACTCTCTCTTCCTTGCACTCTCTGTACAATTTCGCAGCACACCTCTAGACGACGACAAAGATATCACAGCTACGACAAAAGCGGTGATAACGTCTACGACAAAAACATTGACACATATTAACGCTTTTGGTGTGACAACGATGGCAATTAAAGCCGCCTTTCATTTTGCGGATAGTAAATGGTAGTACACGCTATAACTGAAATCGATCGTGTAAGATAACGTCAGAAATCAGCATTGGACTTCGCCAGGGGGGGGATAATTATATATCGGTCGTGTTTACTATCCTAATTATTCTTGCTATCCATTTACATTACCATCTTTTTTTGGCAATCAAACAAAAAACACCGAGAAACTCGAGCTACTACGACTTTAATTTACAATCGGAACTAGACTGTACAAATTTTTCCCAGATAATTTATAGATTTGTTCAGTTCACTTGATTATTTGATGGCGAAGATTAGAATAATAACTTTTTAATGTTATAAGAATTTTAAGATTATTTTTTATTATACGTAAATGCGTTTCGTATAATACCAATCATAATAATCGGCACAATTTTTTAACGTGTCTTCGGATAATAAAATACTCATCATAAAAAGAACGTATAGATAGCATTGAATAAAACTTTTACATAATTGCGTAATTATTGAAAAAAATAAGTACATAATAACGATACATCAGTATTAATTAAATCTATTTCCCCTTTATATATTACATAAATGTACGTTAACATAATTATATTGTAAAATTCTGATAATTATATAGTGAAATATGTGACATTTCCGCGATTATTTAAGGCGCGATATCAATCAGTAAGAAAGCGGAACAAAAAACTAGATAATATGATAAAAAGTCGATGAACTTCGTCACTGTATGACACAAATGCATGTTAATGTAAAGCATAATGACTGCATAATACGACTGGTATAGACGTAATCGATCGGTTATTTGTGTTGCAACACTTGCAATATAATTGGGGAAATGTTCCAGTAAATAGTCGACAGTGATCGTGTGATTATTCTATATCGGTCGCGCATGATGCGATAGATAGGTAATCCATATGGTGCAGCATTTACCAGCGTAAATAATCTAAAAGTAATTCAGATTGATTTACTGCGATAAGAAGATTTCTAGCGGTGGATTCAAAACGTCGGACTATTTCAAACATATGACGAAAATCTCAATCAGTTTTATAAATTATCCGATTATTTATCCTTATCCTTCATCCTTTTCTCTGCGTTTTATCATTTTTTTAAGTAAAATAAACATTTATTTATTATTAATAAATTATGTAGTTCATAATATAACATATAATAAGACTGTAAAATTACAATATATAAGTAAATGCATCATATAAGGAAGAAAGCTATGCTTAATGAGTTTCCGTATAGGTTCTTGATTACTGATCCGCTTTGATCGTATCGTTCTAATTATCTATTCGAAAAATCCGGTCTAATTAAGATTTAAGTTTTTAGACTTCCGCTGAGAAAAGAAACCAGCAGCAAATCACTTTGAAAATAAGTACATTTCTTCCTAATGTCAATTTCGAAGACGCGATACAAATGCGTGCACGCTTTGCTAATGAACGATTCATTTTAAACATTTTAACACCATATTCGTGCTTCAAGTCTTTTTTCAAGATTTAACACTTATAATCATTCACGTCGGAACACATCTCAATCAAATGTGAAACATAAGTTGAGGATGCATATGTAATGTATTAAGCACAATGGTCTCTGCAAACAAATTACTGGAATTGGAAATTTATACTTTTCGTACAAAAATGTGTATTATATGTTTTTTTCATATTTTTTTCTTAGTTCGTGTTAAAGTGCAAGATGTATATAATACATCGAACATTTTTAATTACTATACATATATACGCTACAATTCTCGCGACTGTGAATGCTGCCTTCCTACGTTAAATCATTTTAATGTAAATTAATCGCACGTAACGACTCCTAGGAAGAGAGATCCTAATTCATGTCGCTGTCGTGGAGACACATGCCGTCTGTTGATTCTTAGATCTCGCTCGCTTTAAGAGGCGAAAGTGAGTAGAGCATCTTGCGATTCTCCTTTTGCGGGTCATGTTCGCTTTTCATTTCCTTTTTTTCTCCTTTTTCCTGACCATCTTCGCCATTTATGCCAGTGTAAGAATGTTAATACCTCGTTCGTATGAAAAAAAAAAAAAAAAAAAAAAATACCTTCGCTGTTCCTTTCTCTCCGCCGTCAGGCGATTCTAACGATCCGTAAGTATCTGCATAATTAACGTTATAGAGAAATATAAATTGCTCGGACAGCGCTCGCTTGCGCTGCAATTTGTCGAAATAATCGTTACCCCTTTTCCCCTCAAACCTCGGCGTTCGCGGTTATAATAAGCGCTACTATCGGGTTTCGAAAATTACTTCTCCGCAGGGGGGGGGGGTGGGGTGGGGTTTTATTTGTTATACGTTATATTCTTCTATGCTCCTTTCCGCGTGTCAATGCGGATTACCCAACACGCTAGCGACTGGAAACCCCTGATTTCATGTACCTGACGCGATTATGGTGCGCAACAAATTGGAGGCTTCTTCTATCGTTTAAATGAGATTTTATATAAGGTAATTTCGATAGACTCTTAAGAGACGGCCGAACGCAAACCGGGCAAAACATCGCGCGATACAAACGTATCAAGTGCCGTCTCTCTAAAGCCCATAACTCTCGGAACGTGGTTTTGTTCGTGGTTTCACGTAGCTCTCACTCACGCTGCAGGTTTTGCGCTATATGATACAAGAGTAGTTATAACACAATTTGTTTAAAATTACTTCGGATATTGTGTTACGAAATTGACACCAGCAACAACACGCTGTACCAGCGAACCTGAAGAAAAGTCAAATCGTCACAGCTCACCTTAAGACTCGATTAAAAATAACGTCTGAAAATAAGTTTTTCAAACATTTATACGTACGTGGATATCCGTTGTTTATTATTATCAATGAAAAGTTATATGTGTGGATTTTACTTAAATAATTCCAGTAAGAAACGAAACGGACTTTTCATAGAAAGCGTGTAGAATTTACCAAATCAAACTCCATGCGTTTACTAATTTATTCGTTCCAACTTTATTTTCGCAATATTACGTCATCACATTTTATCTTTCACATACATAAAAATGATCTCGATTTCTACAAATAATAATAAATGCATTCTCCATACAAAATTGTCTCACGAGTTAGTAATATCTTTGTAAATTGATGTATTATTGTTTTTGTATAACAGTAATAATTATCAAAATGTTACATGGTTTTGTATTTCACTGATTCGAATATAAAAATAGCAATATGATATAGAACACTTTGTTTTACTTATATGTACGTAAATAAGATATTAAAACGCGAAAAATTTTTAGCAATTGCGGGAATCTCATGCACGCGTCACGTATTAGTAGCTATATTTTGTTGAATATTTTGTTGTATCTTAAGCAGATTAATTAGAAACGGAAGCAGAGTGCAGTGATTTTCCAGAATTTCGCAGGCGTATCATGAATGTCAGTAGAAACGCCTAACAACTAGTCAGACGACAACGATCGGGGATAGAAGAGAAAAAGAAAAAGAGAACCGAAAATGCAACACGGTAGCGATTTTCGCCGCGCTTCAGACAATTAAATTGCAGATTCAATCGAGAACTTGTGTGAACGTTTTACAACGTGCACGTTCCTGAAACGAGTAACGAATGCAGAAAAACAGGATTTGGATTTCAATCGCTGGTCATGTTATATATTTTCGTAAGAAACTCGCGCAGAATTGCATACAAGAGTAATTATAATTATTATTACAATAATAACTGTATGTATTCGTACAATACGAATATATATATTTATGTAGACGTGTACAACATTAAGAATCAATTGCATTCATGCTGGTTGATCGGTGAATGGATGAAGTTTCACGAACGCGAGTGCATCGGCGAGTGAAATGTGCAGGGCGACGTCGCGCGGCATGCGGCACTCGATTCGACGCCGATCGATCCAGGCGGAAGTAGCTCATCTGACCAATTTTTCGACTTCCCTCCTCTTTCTTCTCATCTCTGCTTCCTCTTTACCGAATGACAAACCGTTTGAGTTTCACGCAAATTGTTAACGGCGCGCGATTGCCTCGATAAGATCGATTATGAGATATCGTTTTTTTTTTTTTTTTTTTTTTTCATTTTTTCTCTCCCTTATCTTTTACTTTTTCGTCGCATATATACCTTCTCTCGTCTATATCAAACGGCTTATCGATGGGGCACAGGCTTTGAGTTACCTCGGGGTATTCTTTACGAATAACGATTGTGCCTCGAATGGCACAATTAACGAAGGATAACGATATCTCATGGGACGACACGGATCGGGAACTGGCGAAGCCGCACGTCGCGCGATCGTAGAAACAGTCCTGGAGGAAACGGAACGGTCCGGCGACTAATTTGCTCGAGTTCGATCTTCGGAATCGACAGATTGACTGCTGGAATCGATCGTAGCCACGTCTTTATTTCGGGGGGGAGGGGGGGCGGGGCCGGTGGACGATCGCTTCGACGATCGAATGAATCTGCGAGTCGCGATCGAATCGCAGCGGACCGTCTACCGGCGGATCTCTTCCTCTTCCTCTTGCGTGCTCCTCCTCCTACACCACCGCTCCTCTTCACGATCGCTGCCTGAGATTTCTTTTGCCGCGGATGAACGACCGACTCCTCTCCTCCTTACGGTTTGTACGCCCGCTTCCTTCTTCTTCTGTTGCTCTTCCTCCGCTCTGGCCCCGATTACATGATTATGCACTTGCCTTTCTCGGCCCAGGGATTGTTCTTCTTGTCGGGCGCGTGTATCAGTGGGTCATTCCTCTCGTTCTCTTCCACGTACTCCCGCATCCTGCGAAGAAGAAGAATAAGGGGGTCAGTCCGCGCGCCGGTTTCGCGCAAGTGCTGAAATTGCAACCTAGCAACACATGCGTTTCTACTCCAGCGTAGCTTACCTAAGACTATGGCGCAATAAACATGCGATTGTGATTCGTTCTAGTGGAATTAATTCTTCATTACGCGACCCTTCGATCTCTTCGTAGGCGCATCTTTTATTTATTCATAACATACGTATAAGAGGATCGGACGATTAGACAAATCGTCGTTTTCAAATATAAAATATAAGTTTGAAAACTTTCGAGTATTGATCATGAAAATAATATAAATTATATAACACGTACTCCTCTCTCTCTTACTCCATCTTTCTAACAAGTATATTTAAAATACTTACAAGTCTCTAAAAATTATACCCATAAACCCAAAAATATTATTTTTTTATATTTTAGTTATTATCCCAACAAATTATCCCTGGTAGAAATGTATGCAGTTTTTCCTACAACAGTACCTTTCCAGTTTAATATGTCTAATACTGCATTCTCATTAGTTGTGTCAATATCGAGTAGGAAATGGACGAGAACCTGATAGAGTTTTATTCTATCCATTTTTTGGCTTGCTTATTAATCGATTTAATATATCCATTATTTGTTGTGCTTCTGTTCAGTAAACGAATTCAGATTTTACGCAACACTTTTGTATGCAATAACTGCAAACAAAGCGTTACATCCTAATTGGGGGATCCTAAGTAGTTTTCCTTCTCAGTTACTAAACAGAAGTTGTATAACTGCTCAAAAAAATGCATGCAAATTTCTACCAGGGATATATAATATATTACTTTTGCGTGTAGCTTCTCTAATAAAAGTATTTTTCATTTGGAGACAGGAATTAATGTACAGCAAATTATCGATATCACCCACATGTCTTTCGCTCACGATAGTGAATATTTCATTCTCGATATTAGGCGTTTTACGGTGAATGCCGGTGCGTTGCTCGAAACTTGCCGAAGGCTCGAACCCGGTGTTTTCCAGGATCTCCTGGAGAATGTCTCTCGCGAGACGTTCATGCACGCGCGATACGATTACATCCGATTTAGTAGTATCGCCGATAAGTTCGCGCCTCCGCGATGTAGAGCGGCCGATGCGAGCCGACCAGCCGGCCAATTTGCGTTCATTTTGCGAGGAAGTCGGTGAAAGGGACTCGGTTCTCGGTTCGCGCTCGCACGGCCGATTTTGCGTTCAAGGAGAGTCGCGCGCAAAAGCGGCAACGACAACGGCACCGAAGCTTTCGAACTTTGTTGCTACTAGACGCTCGCCAAGCGCAAAATGTCCGTGGAATTCCTTCCTGCGGGATACCAGAGCGCCGGTCGGCTACGTACGAGCGCATTTAACCCTTCACTGCGTTTTATTGCATATAAATGACGGCTGAAAAGCATGTTTAACATTGTCGCTTAAGCCTTCGCCGTCGGAGCATGTATGAGCAAATACGCGACATTTGTTTTGAGTGTCAGCTGCAGTGCTTACGCGCTTACGAATGGCGAGGTCAACGCACACTTTATAGCTATGTATATTTTTCAATATATTCCCGTAGAAACGATCCTCTTGATAGTATTAATTCGAATGAAATCGTAAATAAGTAAATATTTTGTGCAATGAAATGCGCTACACTTAATCGTGAAAAATATCTATATTCTTCGAAATTTTCACGAGAAAATATATATGGCAGAATAGAAGAAAGTTTAAATCTTAAAATTGAATTACAAAATGAAAAAGTAAAATGTATGTACAGTGAGAGCACAAAAAGTATTCGTACAAGGAAATTTGTTATGAAAAAAAGATTTATTTGTGGAAAATAAAAGTTAATTAGGATATTCATTTTATACAATGAATATATTCTGTTCTCATATAAACAAACGAGCTTGGCATGTATTCCTGATTTTAGAAGTTAAATTTCTCGTCTGTACAAATATTTTTTGAGCATTCAAACAATTTTTAATTTCCACTTATTTTTTGGATGATATATTTTGTATAATTAGCACACATCATTTTGGTATATATAATTTTGAGAAACATACAGTCTATTTTATTCTTTATGAATAAATTGTTAATTATCCAACAAGAAATAATCGTTAATTAAACGTCGAATCGACGTAAAATTGACGTGTTAAAATCATCGAATTTATATCGATTCGACATCAATTCGATGACTGATTTCTCGCTGTGGATAATATTTACTTTTTAAAAATAAAGTTTTTCTAAAAAATATTTTTTCTATACAAATACAAAATTTGTATTCATTGTATATATTCTTTTTGCTATTTTTTCCTACATCTATAAAGTATTATATAAACTGTATAATAAACAAAAGAATTTTTTTTTTGAAATTTTTAAAATGGCTAATTTGACTTAACAATACAAAATATAAATAAAAGATTATAAAACAATTTTCAATTCGCTTATGGTACGGGATAACAGTAATTTGAAGTTTAACATTACTCTTAAACGCTAATGAATTATTTCCTATTACACGTAGGATTGTTTTATAATCTTTTCTGACTAGCGTTTATTGTTTAATTTTATATTTTTATTTTTGACATCTTTATTTGGTGTGTACTGATGATGGTCAAATCTTAACCGAAACGTCTACGTTATTATATTATAATTTTCAATATATGACTTTCGCTTAAAACTAGATCTAGTGTTGTGGCTCCCTTTTTTATTTATATCTAATATTTTTTTTATATCATATTCCTGAATTCTTGACCATCATAACTACATAGCATAGATTTTATGTGACTAACAATAACCATATTTCGTGCTTGATCGGCATTGATTTATCACAGTTCGTGCGGGAATCGCGGACTTTCACTTATCAGAGTCCGTCGCGCAATTTTTAAGTGAGGGTGAACGACCTTCTCCGACACCCGTGTCGTAATGTAATAATAAATCGATTCACGTTTCTGCGACGTCTATTATTTAGCGACCGTCGTTTATATAATGAGCGGCCATCAGAAATCAGAGCGATTCCCGGAGTCGCGATGTCAAATGAGAGTCGTCGAGCGGATCAGTTGCAGAAATGAAATGAATGCGATTCTGTTCACTTCACGCTCGAATTCACGGTTTGTGTCTCACTTTCGTGTCTATCTTTATAGCCTGGCGGATGGAAGTCGCAATTCAATGCACGAAGATCGAGTGAAACTATCGGTTGACAAAAATACCAGGGATTTTCTAGTATTTCTAGTTTAACTAAGTATTCATGCGCTGTTGACATTATATTTATGTCACGAAATTTGAAAGGAAGCATGTGCCAGTTAATAAGATTAATTCTCTCGAGACCGATTGGCAAAAAGAGACAGAAGAAAGTTTAAATCTTGAAATTGAATTATAAAATGATGAAGTAAAATGTATATATATATCTTTTTTGATATTTTTTCCTACGTACACACTATAAAGTATTATTTCAATTGCAATTTATTTTATAAATTGGAAATTCTTGATAATTTATTTATTAACGATTATTAACGCCGCTACAAGTGCGGCGAGTAATGTGACTTCCACGGCGTATTGAAAGAACACGACCTACATTGTGTGCCGATGAATGCAACAGGCGTCGAGTTCAACCGAGTTTAAAGGAGGTCATCCTAAATTCAGGAACTGAGACGCAACGTCGGCACACATTGCCCCGCCCGCCGCCATCGTTGTCGGTTAACGTCGACATTTTGCGCACAGCAATTTCTATTGATCTCTTAATTAAACCGGAATTAGATCGTTACAGGGAGAAACTGTCCGTGGCGCATGGGCGCATCGTTAATGGACGATACGATTCGGCGGGCATGCGGGAAGTAGACACCGATCTTTTTGTTCCGGTGCGTGGTTCCGCTTGCGGAACGACGCGGAACCGCGGCGCGTTCAGATCGGCAACGGTCGTTTCTCGCGGCGGTTTTCGACTCTCGAGGCGAGTATCGTGCGCGAAAGCAAAAAAATTTCCGCGGTCTCGCGAGACTTCTCGAGCGGTGAAAGGCGGCGCGGCGGGGCATCCCCGCCGCGCGTCACTCCCTCCCCCCCCCTTTTTCTTCTCTTTCTTTTTATCCCTTACCGATCGACCTAATCTCGCGGTCCGATAATACGACGATACAATTTCCACGCCCGCTTCCTGATCCCTCCGTTCCCTTTCGTCTCGTGCGATATTGACGTAATATACCGGACCTTGCAAAACACCCGTGATGCAGGTGACCAGAGATGCTTTCAGCAAGTGGTTGATACTTTCGCTCATTTGCCATCGCATACAGGTATCGATACTTTTTAAGTATTGGTACTGCTAGTGATAATCGCAAGAGAAACGATGATCCGAAACAATATTACCCTGGTGAAAATTGCTTTTCAGAATTTTTTTCATATGTGATTTTAAAAAATTTCTATATATTTTTTTAGAACTTTCTCACATTTTTTATTTCTCAAAAAATGTACACCTTTTCTCAGAATTTTTCATTCATGTTAATTATGAAATATCATAAGATTAATATTTCTAAAATTGTTTGTAAAATATAATTTCTGATAAAATACGTTACAAATAAATGTGTTGTGTAAACCTGAAAAATTTAAAAATATTTTTTAAAAATTACAGGAGAAATTTCAAAATATTTCAGAATTCACTCAGATAAATTCTAAGAGAAGATGTGAACTTTCCGAATATTTCTGAATATTTTAAAAAAATGTTCCACTTCAAAAATTTTAAGGTAATTAATCAAAATAAACAGAAAGAAAAGTTTCTTTTTTAGCAAAGGCGAAGCACGTCTATAACGCATAAGTTTTCGTTTTACAAATTATTGTAATTATTTGCATATATAATACATACGATTTAAAATAAGTTGTCTACTAAGATGAAAAAATCAATTCGAGTGCAGTTGTTTTGTGCAATTTATAAAACGACAAGTACTTTTTCCGCATGGGCTTGTTATCTACAAAAGGTCGTTAACATCGCCATTAAATCGATTGGAACGTGAGTGAAATATTCGCAGAGCGTTTTGCGAGCATTTAATCTTGCAATAACTCAGCCGTGCTCGATCATTAGCGAGAGTGTGACATGCGAAGGATATAATTAACTGGAACTGGACCGACTGAAAACGGACGCGGGGATAATTTTCGCGTAAACTCTTTCCGCACGATCCCACTTAGAAGTGGCGAAATCGCGATGACATTACATCGAGAGACGATCGAAACGCAATTGGGGCCAGCTGTGGCACAATTAGATCATCGCCGATCATTGAGTCATCATAATCGCCGCGTCAGGTTTTGTACGGACTCTCGCTCTCTCATCGCGCTCGTACTCGCCGTACATAAATGCGCGTTCCCTGAAAGTAATCGTGCGCCGCAAAAACGCGATTAACGCGAACACGCACCGCCGTCCAAGGAGATCCTGTCCCTCCACGTAACACGGGGACGCTGTTCACGATTCAGCCTTCGCTGTCAGCTAACAATCCGCGCGACTGCACTTATAGGCGAGCGAGATGACTTATCTGGGAAAAGGCGCTGCGCTTCGAGGCAAGAAAAATCCGATCGGGAACACCGGAACACACCTACGCCGTAATCAGAAGCGTGCATTTTCATTTGCACGATCGCAGTTTTTAACACGTAGCAAAAACTCCGTTCCACATTTCGCTCATATATAGGACTTTCCAAGTTACACCGATCAATTCCTGAAACGATAATGGATAATTCCCTTTTTAAACAAATTAATCAATTTCGAGACAAATTTAAAAATCATGACTTTAATGTGTAAAATGCTCTGCTAATTAGCTGTCTCATGTTCTTTTTTAAGATTATAATTAATAAAATATTTTTTTCACTTCCATATTAGAGAAGCTAGAATAGAATTTCATCTATTTTCTTTTTTCTTTTTCTGTTATATTTCGAAAAAAAAACCTGCTTGTAGGTAATTATGGTTAGTAAATACAAATAAAAAAACCATTAGTTTCTGTAATTTTTAACAATGTTATCCTTCAACTGTAGGAGATACAGTTGAACCTTGAACGATAACAACCTGCGTGATTACGTTTATGCGCGAGCCAATTCATCTGAAAAGGCATTCTATGATCACGCACCAGCGAAAATTACATCCATTACGTCCATTATTAAAGAACTAGAAAGTCACGGCTGTTACCGTTAAATAGCCTTCGCATTATTTACTTTGTACATAGAGAATACCTGAAGTACTCAAAGAGACTTGTCACGAATAGACACGCCCGTGAAGTAAAAATTAAATGCACGATCTCGAGATCACAGACATAATAATGTTCTTGTATATTGGATGTTATTTAAGTTGTATTAAAAATATTTAGTAATTATTCAGAGATCAAAATATACAAAAAATGTGTGAAAAAAAAAAGGAAGTATCTTATATGTCTAACGTAATAATGATCTACAAATTAAATACTATAAATATATGGAACAAGTACTTGTAAAAACATATATTATTGAATAATATAAAATAATAAATGAAAAATAAACCCAAGTACTTACTTTTTTTATCTTAGTTGCATGTAGTAACAAACAAGTGCGAGATGAATTGTTCGTTTCGTTTAAATAAAGCGAAGATTTAAAAATAATAGAAGCTAGCTTTTCGGACTTTCTTAAATAAAATTAAATAATAATGAAATATCTTCCCAATGCATTTAAATACAGCTCATGAAACTTTAAATAAAAAATGACAGAACTGTTCAACATCTACAGTATAAAACATTATTGAATATTAATATAAAAAGCAACTGTGTTAAATATAAAAAGACAACTGCATTAAATCAAATTTATATGTAACATATGTATATACAAACAATTTCTTAATAAATAAATATAATGGTGGAAAATTTAGAAAATTAATTTAAGACTTGAAATATAATATAATGGTAATGAAAATCTCAAGGATATCACAACGGAAAGTAATAAATTTTTCATCTCTGAAGAAAGAACTCTTCAAAGATTTACCTATGTGAATCTACAATCGACGGAAATTGCGAGGCATTTTCTAGGGCATCTGTGTGCGAGGGTGGGCAGTCTTCTCAAATCTACAGACGTGTGTAAATGATACGTAAGCGGGGAGGGGAAAACGACGGACAATTAGCAAATACAGGAAAGAGCGATAACGACAACGACGATGATGAGGATAATGATTCGACTGATGCCGCGATGGACTTACGCCGCGATGCTCTTCGACAGGGGCCACCGTTCCATGGACGCCTGGTACTTCATATTCTCGATCTGCTTCTTCAGTGCGTCCTTGTCCATGGTGGCGAGTACACTGGGATCCATGGTTACAGCCGCACCCCCCTTGTCGCAAATCGGGAACGGGATGGCGCGTGCGCCTACAGGAAAATCAATAAGGATGGCTTGAGAGTAGCTATCGGACGCTACGTTCGTAACGCGGACGATGGCTCTCGTCGGGGTTGAGAGGAAA